AATTTCATCAAAAATATATTTTTTGTTCTGAAGATGAACAAAGGTCTTATGGGTTTGGAACGACATGAGGGTGAGTAATTAATATAATTAATGAAATAATTAAAATGTCCTTTTTGGTACTAACCCTTTAATTGCAATTGAAGTAAAAGTCATGACACTGCTACATTCACTCATATGTAAATAACAGATGAATGCTACTTTCTTTTAAAGGCTTGCTTTATATATATATATATATATATATATATATATAGCACCAAATATTGATTTTGCTTGTACATACAGATTAATAAATAATTATTCTGTTACAATGTATATTTTACATTTTTTTTAACACAAAATATTTAACAGAAATATTTTTACACGTTCACAATATTTCTTGAACACTGTTAAAAATAAATAAACAATCAGACAGAGGTATAACAAGTGCAGGATTTTTTTAAGATACTAACCTTGGTCAGTCTGGGAAACTCCTCCTCACTGCGCCTTACTGAATCTGTAATCAGTTCAGATCTAGATGGTAGCAAGGGTCCTGCAGCAGTGTCTTTCTCCTTAAGATTCAACCTGGCTTCAACCTCAGCTGACAGATCCACGTCTACAGGCTAGAGAGAGGGTGAGGAAAACAAAACTACACTTAAAAGATGGACTACACAACGACATTAAATACCATATTGCTTCTGAAATGATCAAATTGCAGCTACACAACTGTTTTCAAAAATCACAAATCTCCAACATTTCATTTGTAGACCGCAATGTATCTTCCAATCATTCCTTTTTTGATATATTGAAAGCAGAAAAATTGAGAAAATAACAACAACATCAACAACTATTTTTCTGTTGTGTGGGACTGATGACTGCATGGTTGACCAATCAGCATAAAGGGGTGAATAAACAGGTCGAATGTTCAATCTCTGCATGTGGACATGAAGGAAATCATGTCCACATGCAGAGATTGAACATTCGACCTGTTTATTCATTTCCTACTCTTAAACAAAAAAAGGCGCCTTTTTTTCCTTTCAATATTAATAAATAAATAAATAATAGTCAGGAGATAACACGGATTCACTTACGAATTTTCTTGCAGTTTGATTATCCAAAGCTCGTTGCTTTACATCACTTCCTGGTGTGGTTCGATTAAAATCTACTGTTCTATAGCAGATTTAGGAATTAAAGAAATTTGAATCAATAAATGTAGACATGCATTTATTAATCAATAATATTTATGCAACAGGTTAAAATATTACCTGTCTTTAGTCTGCATCAGTGATACTGGCTCTCGCCACACAGACATGTTGGGGAGGGCTGAAGGCAAACAGAAAATTTGATTTGTTTGTAAAAAAAATACAATAGAATCCCTTCAATAAAAGGTTAAAACCGTTTCATAGAGTTATAGGAAAACAGCACAGAAGAAAAGCAGTTTATTATGGTATAATACCCATTTGGGATGGGGCTCATTCTGCTAGGTGTATATTAGCTCTTAATTAAGCTCACCTCTTACTGGAGCAGGTCTGCTCACATCAGTAGTGCAACTGAAGGATGTGTGTCCATTAGCCTTGTGTCCATCAAGAGGGAAATTTGAGCTAAAAGATTTTGAAAAAACGAAGTCAATTTTCTCCAGCAAAGCTACAATGATTTCAAAAGTGTTCTAAGGACTTACATTGGAGGCTTCATCCGTCCAAATGGTAATGGTTTGCTCTTTGAGTATTTCTCCGAAGCCATCTCTACTAGCTTCCTGTAATGCTCTCGATCACTCTCTCTCAACGCCTACTCGAAATAGAAATGCTCAGGAAATCAATGACATCGATGCATCCCAGTACATCAGGATTGAGTTTTCCTACCTCCTCCACGGTCAGGCAAGGTTTGTGCGTGCGGCTCGGGTGCTCCATCTCAGGCGGTCTTGTGCTCAGCCCGTGGGTGGTGCAAGACGGCACTAGCTTCAGGGATCTGCGCATCTCCCTGCCTCTGTCCTGGCTTCCCTTGTACAGCATTGCTCCACTGCTCAAGAAGATAAATACAGACTGTTACAGAACATATAAAGGACAAATTATTTTAGGATCATCAACCTTACAGAATATGGTTTACAGTTATGTTGTGAGTATGTATCTCAAGCCTTGTTTTGATACTTCTGTTAGCATATAGTGGGTAAGGTTCATCTTTCATGAATGCTTCTTATTGTTTCCATAATGCGTGTTTATTCATAAGTGCTGAGAATTTATTGTTTGGCTGAATTATTACCCATAATAATAATAACCCATATTCTGAACATCATAGGATGAGAGATATTTACAAAAGAAAAACTTCTATTCATATAAAAAGAGCCACATAGAATCGTTTTCAATCTCCCCTTAAACTGGATATTCATTTCGTCAGGAAAGATAATAATTAAAACAAAATTTGAGAAGACTTTAAAACACTTCAAAAATTGACTAAATGATACTTACTCAGGTTTACGTAAAGCCTGGACATTGTGGTGGACATTGGTTGCGGTCCTTTCTTTATTTTTAAGTCCCATTTCAGTCTGTTTATCTAAATAGAGATTGAAATCATTACAAAACTGACAGATTGCACGCAAGTATGAAATACGCTTTATGTGCTACAGTTCAAATGTTTGGGGAACAGAATGATTTTATTAATTAATTTGATGGATGCTTCTATGTATAGAACATTTCACAGATCACAGAGATGTGCTGGTAGGTCACACTCACCCATTCCGTCAATCTCAATCCACGAACTCAGGCTGTTGCTGTATATGTCATCAATACCCATATAGGCAACCCTGCCAACCTGAGCCACCAACAAGCACAAGAAACAAGACAATGTGCAGAATTCATAAAACAAAGGCTTGCACAAACAATGTGTGTTTTTGCAAGTGCTTTGTGGTGATTATACAAATATACCTGGGTAAAGCCTTTCTGCTTTTCATGTTCGTCCTTCCTGCGTTGTCTCGAACGGAACAGCCCAGCAATCCCTGCAAAAGTCTTCTTGACAACCCTAATGATCACATCTGTTGACAGAGACAATGATATATTTGGTGAGAAAAAATCTTGATAGTAGCTAAGTCAGAAATGTTCAGTGAAGTTGCATTATGCTCTGTTGTTTACATGGTGTAAATATTTACCATGTCTTGCTCTTTTGACCTCTGGATATTCTGCCACACCATCAGCAGAGTAGACACTGAAACCCAGAAGAACACTTCAAGTCAGTTCATCAGACGGATTAAGAAGAAAAACCTTTAAAATAATATTGAGCACTTAAAATAAAAATCACTAAGCCTCAGAACCACTAGCAAACATACAATATCCCTTGGCCTTGGAAAAGAACATGCACTTTTATTCATATAGATCACCAAAATAAAGACTAACATAAAGACAAAAATAAAAATTATCTACACGGTTCATTTAATGACAACCAAACCTGTAATAAGACCAATTACGGACAAAAAAAGTCCATAAATTTAGTTGTTTGCTGTGAATAGATTGTCTATTGTTGATTTGTTTACATTGGACTGATTCCTGCCCTTAAGACACACGCTAATACTACACTGCCTATTGTTCATGTAAATGAACAAGACACAAACTAACAAAGGCCAAAACAAAGCAAGCAAACCGCGTGTTAACAAAAATAGAAAACAAAACAAATTTGGTTCATTCAGAAATGAGGACTACAAAAGACTAATACTACACCTTTGATAGTTGCGTTTGGCGGGCCTGCTGTTCTCCTGCCGCTGGCTGTCTGTGCCCGCGGCTCGCGCTATACCGTTACCGTGCTCACTAGGCCAGGCTGCGGATTTCTCACCAGAAAAGGGCACGAACAGCGACGATAATCCGTCAACTATCCATTCATACATCACAAACCACCACGATGAATAAGACTCAGTTTCGTTTGTTAGTGCCAGGTCTCTATACTAAAGATTTTGGAACCAAGAAACGGACCCACTCGTGTTTCAATAGCCTTCCGTAGTAGTTACGCTTAACTGCGTCACCGATTTGTCAACTGCGGGGCCCTCCCACTATCCACTGATATTGACGTTCCATCACAAACGAAACGATGTTTTATTAAAACCGGCACACAATATAATTACTATTTTTTATCCATATATTCCGTGAATGTTTGATTAAAGAACTGATAAGCGATTAGCTGTTTTGCTAAACATTTGGCGGGACAAGGAATGTAGCCAATAAAAAAAGGGAAAAAAATGATTGTAACCAATCAGATGCGATACTGAGCATCACGTGTCTCAAAGCGGAAGAAAAATATCGAGTGGATGTGCTTTTACCTTTTACCTGTGTAATGTTCTATCTCTGTTAACCCTATTACCATAGCCTTTTACACAGCAAAGAAGGCGGTGTAGTATTTTAAACAGCATCATTACTTGACATGGCATGACACCCTCAGTAAGCCGGATTTATGGGGTTAATCTTTGTGTTGCGCAAGCACACTGTACTACCTGTATGAGAAGTAACTCTAGTATGACTAAACTGCAAAGACAGGAACTGTACTTTTTAAAAGTGTGTTGTATGGATTATAATATAATAATATAAATAAAGAGAAAGGGGCATTACTTTATGTTTCCCTCAGAGACCAAGTGGAGTCCTGGAATTCACTGCATCAATTCCCATTTTTCAAGGCAAAACAAGTTAACATGAATAGCTGTATTAGGCCTATAAGTGACAAGTGAATATTTTAAACCAAAAGTACCACAAAACACCCATAACTAACGATGTGGCTTATTTTAAAATTATGTGGTGATTTTTAGCCTAACTTCGTCATACTCATATTCTATTCGAACTTCCTGACCAAAAAATGTTGTGGGCGAGGTTCGGGCTGGCATCCAGGCTAGTGATTTTTATGTTTCTGGCCAAAACATTTGTATTGTACACTCAGTAGGCCTATGTGAAACATCTCACAGCAAGACCTCATATATGTATGAAATACATGTGTATACAACACCAGGTTTTGTAAATGACAAACAACTGTCCCCAAATAACTTCTGATCCATTGTTAAATTGTAAAATTATTTTATTATTATTTATTAATATTGTTACATTGTTGATTCTTAAGTGTTTAAAGGAGGCAGAGTTACAGGACCAATCACATGCTGCATTGTTGGCTGATAAGTCCCGCCTTGTCCTGCTGTCATCATAGAGGGCCAAACAGAGTAGCCAATTGGAGGGAGAGGTGGTCCCTGGGAGCCGTAGTGATGATGATGATGGACAGCACCCCCTCCTCTCACTGGTGAATGAAGTTCCTGAACAACATCATTAGCTTCATTTTAACTTAATACTTCATTGTGAAATGAACACATATCAACTTTATGTATATTGAACACAACATTCCCTGGTTACCTGCCATGAAAGTGAGGCTGTGTGATGTGTGTTTCCTCCTGGGGACACGGCCGATGGTGGAAGAGCCTTCAGCATCATATTGTGCATGATGATCTGGTGCATCTGAGCATTCTGCATGAGCATCAACTCCACCATATCTGTTGTCATGAGAATAATGAAGTGAAGAACTCTTGGCCTAGCTTAAATCTTGAACTGTTGTTTAGACTCCATTTATTTCTTTAGTTCTCATACAGACTATATTGATGTTTCAGGCATGCAACTTGAAACATACTGTTCAAAAGTTTGGGTATAGTAAAAAAAAATTATGCTTTTCTGTTGAACAAAACTGAATTTATTTGATCACAAGTCAAAAGCAGCAATTTTGTGAAATATATTTACAATTTCAAATAACTGTCTTTCAATATATTGTTTTTTTTTTCTTTTTTTATAATGGCAAACACATTTTCAGCTGAAATTGCAGTTTTCAGTAAATTTCAGTTTTCAGTCCCATGAAATCATTCCTATGTTGTTTTTGTGCAAGAAACATTTCTTATTATTAATTTTAGAAAATTTTAGTATTAGAAAGTGCTGCCTAATGATGTATTGAAAGTATGGACGAGCTCTCTTTAGGGTTCTTTGATGAACAAAAAGTTTGAAGAAAAGCATTTATTTGAAATAGAAATGTTTTGAAACATTATAAATTGTCTTTACTATCACATTTGGCCAATTTAATGTGTCCCTGCTAAATAAAACTACAAACATTTTTTTTTATTATTATTCTGACCCCCAAATGTTGTATCTGTTAAAGAATAATCTGAAGCACAATATATTTTCTCTCTTATAAGTTGCTTTTGGTTGGGAAGTACCTGTAACCAGGTTTAAATGTCATGTACGTAGTCACTATTACTTACTTTACTTATTATTAGGCTACTTATTACCTTTTTGGCTTAGTACATTTACATTAATTTAGCAGATGCTTTTACCCAAAGTGAATTACAAATAAGTATACAATAACTGTTGTTATAGTATACAATACTACAAGGTTTAGTATACTGTTGTTTTTTTCTGTATTTGATGTATCTATCTGTATATACCTTCTTTAATACTTCCTGATCTATAAGGAAAGGTTTGCGGTGGAGGGATTTGTGCTATGAGAGGCTGTTGCTGTGGTATCTGCTGGATAATGGTTGCTGGCTGTTGAGGAACCTTGTGGAAGGAGAAATATAAGTTGTTAGAGGAGGGCCAGCAATATATCATTGTTATAGACATATACACAAATAGTTTGCATCTTTTAGAAAGGTATTTGTTTGAACTGGAATAGTAACTGTAGATATGCTGTGCAGGATCGGGCCAGTATTAGGTGAATATAACAGCTGGAGGATAAGAAAACATACAGTGTGTTGAATGATTCGAGGGGGCTGAGGGACTAGAGGAGGGAGGGGAGCAGGTGGTGCAGTTTGGTGGACATTGATGGGGGGCACAGGCTGGAGCGGCCCAAGAAGAGGTTCATAATGATATTGCCTATGAGATCCACCCCATGTGTGTGGCCTTCCCAGATCCTCCATCATATGCTGTTCCTGTTACATACACATAACATAACCAAATGCAAGTGATTCAAAGTTTCTATTCACATGACACTTTGTTCAAGATGAGAGGCTGCTTACTGCAGAGCCAACAATGTGTGGACACAATGGGTGAACCTTGAAGGTCCAGCCACACCCTTCTCTAAGCGTACCCTATCCCTAAATCTAAATTAGGTTTAACTCCACCCATTAGGTCCACATTACTTCAAGATTGTATTTGTTTTCATCATCTTGATAAGTTTAACAGAAACTCTTCTTATGGTGTGAAGAATAATCATTTTAGTAACATTTCTGTGAAACACTATACCCTCAGCCTCTGTAGGAGGTTTCTCTTCCGCCTCAGAGCGCTGTGTAATGCGTCTGCCTGACCATCATAACTTCCTGCGGCATCAAAAAACAAGAAATTAGTCATATATGTTGTATTCTGTATTTTCAACATTCTCATCTGCTTTTGTTTTTATTCATTGATTGTATTTAGGCTTAGAATAAACAACTAAGATAATTACTACAAAATAGGCATTCTGTCTAGCATAGGGCTGGGCGATGTTATGATATTTTTTTCCATATCAGGCTATCTATATTTATCACCATTAATGGGGAATGCTTTCCACATATTTGTTAGACCTTGAAAATGAAGGTAAACAAGTAATTTGTTCACAATTAAACTCACAGTAGCAACCTTTTAATTTTGGGAATCATTAAATTAATTTGATCTTTCCCTAAATTGAATTCTGTATTTTCTGTTACATTTTAGGGGGGATTCTGTGGGATTCAATACAAACTGATATAGCTAAAATAAAGCTTTGAACATTTAATCAAATGAAAATATTACTATTAATTATTAACAAAAGATTACATATTATTTGTGTGAAATAAGATGCTGCACAACAGAACAGTAGGCCTACATTTAAGGGGATTAACATTATAGAGATGAAAAATATCTTGAGTGTATGATATTCCTTAGAAATAATAATGTTATAACTTTGAGAAGTACATTTGTTTGTATACAGTAGTGATATATGTCTATCATAATTGTTTTAAGTTAAACAGAACTTTTATTTTGACGGTTTGTCGTGAAGATATTTCATTACTATCACCTCAGTTTTAGTTTCAGTGTGTATTTGTCCTTATTGGTATTTGTCAGTTGTTTTTCTCAAATGTAGCAGGAAAAAGCTTGCGAAGTGACTCTCAAAGCTGCCTAGAAGATGAAGTTCATATGTTTATGTCCTGAGTTTGTGTATCAGACCCCGCCGTTCACACAGTGACACGCAGAAATCCCTAACTGGTTGTTGTCGCGTGTGTTTCTGTTGTGTGACACGCTGTTAGATTAATCCATATAAGGTAGAAATTTCCTGAGCTTGTCATCGTTATCGATATCGCCCAGCCCAACTGGCAACTACCCAAATTATCCAAAAAACAAACAAACAAACAAACAAACAAACAAACAAACAAACAAACAAAAAACAATAATGCAGTAACACACACACACACACACACACACACACACACACACACACACACACACACACACACACACAGAAATGCACTCTTATCTGTGTAACTTAACTTACTTGAGGAAAGGGCTGAACCCTCTCGTTCAATGTTGTCATTTCTCTCATTCTCCAGTCTCTAAAAAAACAGATTATAATAATAAAGCATACTTTCTTCATAGACAAGAGATTTAGACAAGAGATTTAATAGATTTAGCCTCGTGATAGAAGGTTGTCCACAATAAAGACAGAAAAACATGTCAGTAGTCTATGTATAATTTATCACATCAAAACTTACCTTTTCCAGCATTTTCAATCTCAACCTTGTTATTTGGTCAACCAAATCTGCCATTTTAAAAACACCTTTATGATAAGTTTATTTAGTTATTGTTCATGCTTGCTGTAGAAAGATATCCGTTGTCAAAAACATTTCTGCTCTTTGCCAACCTTCACGTTGCTAAGTTACAGACCGAGGCTCTTGTTTACGCTATGGGACCAATCTTAGACTGCTCTAAATTAAATAAATAAATAAGTAAATATTACAATTGTAAACAAACTATTTCAATGTGCACTTAACCCTAGAATGTATAAACCCTACATAAATGCATAAAAGGGGTCAAAATAACCAATTTTGAAATTAATAATAGAAAATGTCTCCTATTAATAAATTAATAATAAAATAATTCATTAATAATAAATTAATAATTGATGATACAAAAATGTTTTAATATATCAAACTTGTTTATTTGTCCACTTTCCATATATATATATATATATATATATATATATATATATATATATGAAATTGATTCTTTTTAAAATGCAGTTGTACTTTTTTCTAAACAAACTAATTTATACATAACTGTAAAGTAGGCTATATTCTAATCTAGTCTGAACCATAGGTCTGAACCCTCCCCACATTTTTCACAGACCATGTGAACATGATCTTTTTTTTTTTTTTTTTTTTTTTTTTTTACATAAGATTCACACCTTTCAAAATATAACTTTAGGGCAGATGTGGCACATTTATTAGGCAGAGTTTGGCTCCTTTGTTTTTGCTTTTATGCTTTGGGCATTTACAAATTTAAATTAAGTAATACATTTAAAATATGTTTTCTTTATAGTCTTAAATACAACATTATAAATATGTCATAATTAATAACGATAATACATATTAATAATTAAATGTTTTTGGGATTCACATTTTTACACCTTTATTTATGATATTATATTATCAAAAGGGTATTTAATTGGTATATCATTTATAATTTATGAGACTAGGCCTTATATTATTGAGATTATATAAGGTGAAGAAAAAAAATTGTTATGTCGTGTCCGAATTCAGCCTGTTACCTACTGGTTGATCTTATTTACCCGGGCTTTTACCCGCGGCTCTCATTTGTCAATCACAACCACTACTACTGTCGGAAACGAGAGTACCACAACAAATGCACAACCTACGGGGATGTCGTTTCTCTCTATCAGGCTCTGCGATAGGCTGTAGAAGTTGTCAATCAAGGGGTCATGCTTGCAAACGCTATTTAATTGGCCATTCGCGCCCAAACTTTTTTTTACAGTCTATGGGCCCAATGCGTTTAAAGGAGGGCGTTTTAAAAAGTGTAAGGTGAATTTCTGCAACAAGAAATGTCATTGGCTGCCAAGTTAACGTCCTTTATTCTAATTGGTTCTCGCACACTGTCAATCCGATAAGGGCGGGCATAAACACATTCGCGGCCATGTTGAAAATTACACTGACAGTTACTCCTTAGGAAAATCACTCTCAACTCACAAAACATTGCGTAAAATGTGCTAGGAGAGTTTTACAGAAATTGTTTTTTGTCTGCTTGCCGCCACTTGAGTGTTTCCTTCATTCCCATGAAACTCCTCGATCCAGGAGATGGATCAGGATGAAAGGCAGAGAAAATTAGAGGCCGGACGAGCAAAGGTACGCGCTAACATTAGCAGTAACTTTACACAGCCTTGGCTTGTTTTGAATTTGAATAACGTTAACGTTACTGTTTGATATTTTGTTTATGTCTGTAGTTACATCAGGTATTACATTTAATACATTTTTTCCCTTTAATTTGAGATCCACTTTTATTTCGGCCAGCCAAAGAGCACAGTCACTCATATTACTTTTGCTGCACAAACAATGTCTTATAAAAAATGTTGGAACTAACGTTAATCAGCCCTAATCTGTTTGTCAGCACATCATTTCCTATCTGTCTCACGATCCATTGTGCTGAATATTACAGTAATATCTGAATACCAAGTTTTGTATGCGAATTTTCTTGCTTTGGAGTGGTATGTTTCAAGTTGCACAACAGTTATAGGCTAAGTTACTACTTGCTGTTGAATATGAGGCGAAAACTGATACAGCTCTATCTCTAGGCAGGATCTGTGTGGCTCACAGGTAACTTATCTACAGTATATATTTAGCTCGAGATCTTTTAATGGACCTGCGCTTTATCCGCATTGAGAGGAAAACCGAGATGAAGTGACCGATCTTTTAATTTGCTTTTAAAGGTCAAACGCTTCAAATGATGTGAACAACACGACATTGACTGAATCACTAGATGTTGAATGACACTATTCATTTCACAGAAGAATTCAACTTGTTATTTGTAAAGAGTCCTGTAGGAGGCACCACACGATTAAAATATCAACACTGCAAGTATGCGTTTCTGGACCCTCAAAAATTGAAATAGTCATAATTTGCTCACCCCTATGTTGTTTTTATTTTTATGTGGAACATAAATTTTTTTTAATTAAATTGTATAGAGAAAAAGTAGCTTGTGTTCAATGAAAGAAATTCATTACTGGTTTTGTACTATGATGTTGAGTAATGAAGACAAACAAATAGGATTATTTGAGGCAATATTTTTGGTCGCAAAAGAGCTTGTATTTTTCATTAAAAGTTCATTATTAAAATGTTTCCCTTCTGATTTGTCAGTACTGTATTGAATTCATTCCAACTTCCAGATCCATACTGTTAAAGGGATAGTTCACCCAAAATTGAACATTTTTGTCAGCGACTCGCCCTCGTGTTGTTCCATCAAACCTGTATGAGTTTCATTCTTCTGTTGAATACGAAAGAAAATATTTTAAAGAATATTGGAATAATGGAATTGTTAACCAACCAGAGAGTTGATGACGAACATTAACATCCATAGTAGGAAAAACAGTTCTATGGAAGTCAATGGTTGCTGTTAACTGTCTGGTTGGTTACCAACGGTCTTGAAAATATAGTATTTAGTGCCCAATAGGAGGAGGAAACTCATACAGGTTGGAACAACTCGAGGTATAGTAAGTAAAGGGAAATGTTTTTTTTTTTTTTGGGGTGAACTTTCCCTTTAAGCATTGAATTTAATTTCTAACTTTAGCCACATGAAAGGCATGAATGTTCAAGTATTTATCAGTTATGGAATGTTTCTAGACACGTGCTTGTAGATTCATTTAGCTCAAAGATTAACCTGTTGCAGAGTGGCTTGCTGGTCGCCATGGCTTTTGTTAAAACAAACATTGGTTATGAGCGTCCCTACTTGCAATCGAACAAATTAGGACAAAAGTATTGGGATTTCTCTGTAGTGTAGAGATGAGAATTAATATTTCATGTATATTACATTATAATTGAAAATGAAATAAATTATTTATTAGACTATACATGATATTACTATTAGCATTATTATGATGATGATAATAATAATTATTATTATTTTAAATGTTTAGCGCCCTACAACACCAGTCAATTAGAGCTGCACAATTAATTGTTAAAGGATCACGGTCTTTATTCGAACACCAACGTGATCTCATTCTCATAATGAATGACAATTCGCCTTCGTCTATTAAACCTTTGACAAAATAGACAGTTGTCATGTATACTGTAGGTATGAAACCGCTTCAAAAAAGTCAACAGTCTGTAACACAGTGTCATTATTTCTGTTACAAATATTCATATTAGTTTCTAGTTTGGATATAAACACTGATGTCTACAGAAGCGGGCAAGAGTGATCGAGTGAATCACCTTTTTGAATGTAACAAGGCGCTTTCAAATTTTTGTTGTTATTGAATTATTCAAGAGATTTGTTTAAAAAAAGCTGATTTATCCATTAATGAAACAATGAAATATTTTTGAATATCTAAATTTAAGTTGTCTGTTCAGAATCATGGGCGATTTGCATTCTAAACTACTTAGAACAATATCCAAGGCTGCATCGAAAGGCGTCTGCTGCCATTTTTGATCCATAAACAAACTGCCTTGGTTTGTCGCATAGACGTTGTCATCGTCTTGCTGCTCCCTCCCCGTTCTGTGATTGGTTAGATGAGGCAAAAATTTAGTTCATGGTTGGTATCCAGACTGCCTAGCAGCGTGAATAAAATCGCGCTGCGCAAATGCAGCATGGGGAAACCAGTTTTAATTTCCAGTTATAAAGTTCAATTCTGAGTGGAAAAAATTACTGAATTCTTACTGTAAAATTACTTTTATTCTCAGAATTGGAAGTTTATATCTTTTTAAGAAAAAACGTCAAACAAACCCCCCAGATTTGTGAGATAAATTCGCAATTACCTTTTATATTTTTTTTATTCTGTGACAGAAACAAGCTTCCATAGAATCATGATCTCTGTTTGAAACAAACAAAAAAAGTGATTCAATTTATTCAGAATCATGCAGCTCTTGTATGAATGTAATGTAGGTTGAGACATTGTAAATGACATGGTCTAACTCAATTCGAATCTATTCACATTTATTTGTATAGTGCTTTTCACATATCATTTCAAAGCAGCTTTACAGAAAATGCAGGTCTACGCACAATTTAGTCTGATCTGTTATCAGAGGTGGCTGTTCAACAAAAAGACAATTTGTTCAATTTGTTAACTGAAGAAATTTTAACTTAAAGTGCACCAAATTGATACCATTTAACTTTAAAATATACATTTTCTTATTGGGGACCAGAGCCAAACTCCACCCCCTGATAATATTTAATCAAAAAATGGACTGTAGATTTAATTTTTATATACATTTATTTATGTCAGACATGCACACCATTTTAGTGGATGTTACAGAGAGTGGCCTTCCCTGAATATTGCATTTAAGCCGCTGTTCCAGAAACTGTTTATGGCTTGTCGTCCCCTACGCTTCAGATCAACATCTTATGTGATTTGACATTCAGTGGGCGAAAGACAAAATGGATTTCCTACATGTTTATGAAAGCAGAATAATACCCAGCTCGTTGTATTTTTTTACATTTTTTTTTTTTTAGGTGCATTCTTACTCAGATCTGGGTTAGAGGTTTAGTCCAGAGGGTACTAGGTCCAAGTTGGGTGATGGTATGTGCATTTATGTGAAGTGTTTGCGTGCATTCGCTCCTCCTCTTTCTTTTCCTTTTTCATTTGGTTCTCAGTGGGTTCTGCAGAGAACATCTCTTCACTTGGTGCTCTATAGTTCATATAGTTGCAGATTTGGCCAGGAATCATAAGGTGTTTTTGTTTTTTTTTGGTTGATGGATTGCTGTCATGTGACTAATTTAAAAGCCTTAGGGGTTGTGCTGGTGTTTGTTCATAGATGCACCATTGTAATATTTGGTCCAGCAGGGCTCATGTCAGCTTGCTTTAATCTGGAATAAGCTTCTTAAGGTCAGCTGTGAGCAATGTCTCTTGGAGAATTGTGCGTATTTCAGGCATCACCACACTTCCATGCTTGAGGATCAGCGATTCTCCAAAAAAGGAAGAGGATGATTGTTTTTAGAAGATGAAGAACCCATCATTTTTTTCTGCTTCAAGAAATATCATCTATTTGGATTTCGTATTTATTTTTTTAAACCTGGTTTTCTTGCCGAATTGTGGTCGAATTATGAGACATCAGTCATGCAGGCGATGCCTCCATTTGACCTTTGACATGGCTCATATTTCAAGCCCAGCAAAATGCTGCTTCTATGTTCTTGCTATCTCATCCTGATGTACGTTTCCCTCTACCTGTCCCTCAACCTCTGGCGCAGCTTGCTCACTTTAGACGGCGCCGGGCGAAAAGCGACAGTTCGAGCGCGCAGAAAAAGACGCCGAAGAGGAAGGGCCAGGCGAATGCGGTTTCCACACAAGAGCGCCACCTAGAGGAGCCACAGACAGATGATTTTCATGGAGAGATCAGCAAGGAATACTCAGAGGTTTGCTCTTAGTTTAAGTGTTTCTTAAATTGACAAAATTTGTCCTGTTTCTTTGTTACAACTGACAAATTATTAAATATAGCAAAATAGCAATAAAAAAACGTTTGCGACTTTGTGACGCCAGACAGATGCATCAACACATCAGTCACAGTAATGCATTTACCATTATCAAGTTCCAGATAAACGATAATTCCAGATAAAAAAAAATATTTTCCAGAATTCCAGATATAAAAATATTAATAGAGTATCTGAATGTCAGAAATAAGTAACTTAATTGTGTTTTTAAGATTCCTTCTCAAAATAAAATGCTGGTAAAAGTAAATCTTTGTGTATATAAATATCTGCTTACATACACAATATTAATGTAAAGCCTTTCACTGTCTGTTTTCAAGTCTATAGAATATAACGAATAGTGAATAATTGTTCTCCCTCCCCATCTGTCAAAAAGTAGGTCAGTTAGCATAAAATGGCTGGGGGGGAATGTAGTCATGGTAACACAAACTGTGGAAAATATGCATGTTTGTCTAAACATTTAGGCGTCACTCAGACCTGAAGGCACAGAAGGCAGTGTTCCAGATGTCCATCAGTGCAGGAGAGAGGCCGATGAAACCAATGCCCAGGAACAGAGCTCCTCATCTGGGTCTCTGGCAGAGTCAGAGCCGCCCGATCAGGCAGAGGGCGAACTTGCAGAAATGATTATAGTTGCACATAGTGGCAAAGAACAACTGAAGGTAAACCATTATAGAGCACACAAGGCAGTCCTATACATTTGGTGTTATGTTTTACAGTGCCTTTATGCAATGCATGTGTGGTAGTGTTGTCACGATACTGGAATTTCTAAATTCGAAACGATACTACATAGATATTTGATCACATTTTCGATACCACAGTCAACTTCTGTTTAGATGTTTGTGATAATTTGGGTAATTTTGTTGCAGTAGCTTTCACACAGCAAAATAATGCTTTTATATGAAACTTTAAACCAAATTTACAAAAAAGACAAGTAACTAATAAACAAAAAGGTTAATCACCTTTTTCATTTTTTGTAATACATGCACTCCATTTTAAATTTAAAAAATGTTTCAAGCTAATCCCAACTGTGTGAGGACTATAGTTAACACTCTTTTCTTAGATATTGTTGTGTTGAATAGCTCACTCGAAATCTGAAGAAAGATGTCAGTGTGGTGTACAGCCATTATCCTGAAATTGAAATTAGAAAGATTCTCTTCAATCTGGGTTACATCTGCCCGTTTGACTGGATTAATTCATGGTCATGGTTATGAATACATTTTGAAACCCGAGGCAGACTACTGCTTTCTGGAGCGTAGTGTTTACCATATTTGGTTTGCTTGCATTTCTGATACTGTAGAGGGAAATAAAGAACCAATTAGATTTCATGGATGAGGTTAAACGTATTTGCATTAGGAGTGTTTATTGCATTCATGGATTTAAGGATTATTTGCTCCAATCACATTTTTACTTGCTCTTCCTGAGACCAAAAGGTGTTGGTGCTTATTCGGTAAAATGATTGTTTATGTTTGGTGGAGTCCAATATAGAAATATTGTTTTGGAACTTTTTACTGAAACTTAAAAAATACTGTTCCTTGTATATAAAGCATTTTGAATTACCCTTGTGTATGAAATGTGCTATATAAATAAACTTGCCTTGCCTTTTTGATTTTTATTTCTTCACAAAGCAATTACAGGCTGCAGTAGAGAAACGGAATGAGATCATATCACAGCTTAGTAAGAACCTGCAGGGGGCGCTACAAAGCAGAGACCAGGTGCAATTGGAGGCACAGGAACTCTCGGGTCAGATTCAGGCTCTACAACAGCAACTACAGCAGGTAAACGTTATGCATAAAAAAAAAACAACCCATTAGTTTATCTCACTCCTGCATTGATTATTCTAATACACCCAATACATTTTTTGACTGCTTTATAAGTGATCTTGCCAGATTTGTACACCTAAAATGTGTACGTTTGGGGTAAAACAAATAATTTTATTTTTGTTCTTCACAATAAAACGCAATAGTAAAGGAGTCTAAACAAATTAAAGGGATACTCCACTTTTTTTTGGAAATAGGCTTATTTTACCACTCCCCCAGAGTTAAATATTTGGGTTTTACTGTTTTCGAAGCCGTTTCAGTCGGGTTTTTTTATATTTAGAAAAATATCAGTAACTAGACAGTTTCTGGTTACTGATATTCTTGTAAATATCAGAAAATCGGCTGAATGGATTTGAAAATGGTAAAATCATATGTTTAACTCTGGGGGAGTGGTAAAATGAGCCTATTTCCAAAAAAAGTGGAGTATCCCTTTAAATGTAATACTCTTTTCAGGCTAAAGAATATCTACGCATCAAAAGTCATGGGTGTGTGGATCCGACCCAGGCTGCTCCGAATCAGCTGCATGAACAGTTGGAGGTGTCACAACAGGTCTGGCCACTTGTATCTTTTTAACAGTTAATTTTGTCAATGAAGCAAAATATGCATTTGTATTAGTAACTCAATCATTTGTTTTAAAGGTGACTAAGGAACAACAGTGCCTCTTGGCCCAAAAAGAAGCTGAGATCACAGACCTGCAACAGAAGTTGTGTGTCATGGAAAAATCCCTCTCTCAGCTTCAACATGCCTTTAACCAGAGAAGTGCTGATCAATCAGATCTAAAGCTTGACCAACACTTTGGTTTAGATATATCCAATGTGAGCCTTCAGATCAGTCCGGACTCAAACTCTGAAGCTTTAACACAAAGCCTTAGAGCTGAGCTAGAGGAAGAGCGTAAGAACAGCCAACGAGCTCAAGAACAAATAGAAGCTTTTCAGAAGAGGGTACAGAGTCTGGAAGATGAGAAGATTCAGATGGAAGCTCACCTGGCAGCGATTGTAGAAACACAAGCCCAGGAAGCCCAGCAATATAAAGCAGAGAAAGATGAGTTGAACCAAGAAATGGCCAGATTAGATAACCTGGTCAAGGAGCTTCAAAATCGTCTTCACGAAGAGGAGGAGACATGGCACCATATGCGTTCCAAATATGAAGCTGACATTTCAAATTATGATCTCAGGCTTCAGACTCTGGAGGAGGAAAGGAAGTTGAATGTAGCCCAGCTTACCGAAACTCACGAGGCAACTCTTAGGCGCCTGCAGGAGGAGCACTCTGACGAGATCCATCGCATCAAGGAGCTTCTGAACCAGGCCCAAAGTCAACAGTCTGATTCTCATCAAAACGTTTCCAAAGACAATAGTGCAGATGTACCCTGGAACATAGTATCCAAAGAGCACTACATTGAGGAGACGGTCATTGAGTGTGCTGTGCGAGGCAGCTATAGTTTTGATGTCTCTACAGGGGGTTTCCAGGATGTTTTGATGGAGCGATACTTGGCTTCTGAAGGGCCTCAAGAAAGTTCATTACTTGAAGGGAGTCTAGAGGAACGTAGCATGATTGAGAACTCTGAGACGTCCAGGTTTGAGCTTGACAGTGAGGTCATATTTCAAGCTTCAGATTACCCTAATGTCCCATCTGATGGTGATAAGTCAGAGCCAGGACTGCCTATAGTTTCTGCCATTGATGCACACCAACCTGATGAAATGTCCTTCAATGATGCCCAGTGGCAAACCTCAGCCATTGAAGAGCAGGATGACAGTGTAGGCACTCTGGACTTAGCTAAACAGCTTCTGATCCAGCAGTGCCAAGACCTTTCAGAGCAGTTAGAGGATCGGGAACGGCAGCTCGAGGTTCTTCAAGAAGAGGTTCAGCGCTCTGCGGAAGAGGTTGAGGAGGCACGGGAGCGTTGGAGCAAAGCTTCGGAGGAGCTTGAGGAAGCTAAGTGGGAGCTGGAGATGGAACGTGAGAAAAGAATTCAGTACGAGGAAGTTATCAGCCAGAAAATAAATGAGGACAACCTCAAAAACATACTGAGTGACCTGCAGGTTCAAGGCGACGAAAGGATCATGCCACACAACACTGATTCTAATAAGACCTCAATCCCTTTGTCTACAGAGGAGTTGCTAAAGGAATTAATGGAAGAAAAGGCCCAATTGGTGCTACAGCTCAAACTTCAGGAGCAGATTGCAAAGGATGTCCATGACCAGAAAGCAGCTGGTGACTTTGTAAGTAGTGAGTTTTCCTCTTTGCAAGCTCAGAGAGATGAATTTCAACTTCAGCTGGAGCAACAAAGGGAAAAACACCAAGCTACTTCAGTGCTGCTTGGTCAAAGGACGTTACAGCTGGATCAAGCCGATGGAGAGATTCAGCAGCTCAAAGCTGAAGTAGAGGAGAAAGCTGGAAGGTTGCAGGACTTGGAGGAAGAGAAGACAGACCTTGAGTCTAAACTAGTGTGCCTTAAAGAGAACCTCACCAACATGGAAGAGGAGAAAGCTACCCTGGAAAGACGTCTCAAAGTTTTTGAGGACCAGTCAAAAAGCATGGAGAAGGTTCTAGAATCAGAATTGAAGAACTTTGAGGTTCGAGTCTTAATCACTATTTTATATGCCATATGTCTAATGTGTAAACTACAATATTTGTTGCTGGTTGAAGGTTGAGAAGAACAAATCTATGCGTTTGTGTGCTGTCTTTTCAGAATGTGGAAAACCAGGAATATATTATTTATTTGACATTAATGTGATCCTAAAGTAACTTGTACCTTTATCTTTAGCACCAACTTGAATCAAAGGATGCAGAGCTCAAGGAAGTAAGGGAAGCACAAGAGAAGGCAGAAGAGGAATACATGGAAAAGGAGAGTGCCTTAATGAAAGAACTAATCTCAGTCAAACAGAATCTAGAGGAAAGACAGAAACAACATGAGAAGGAGCAGAAAATCCTGGAAGAGAAACACCAGAAAGAGGTGAGTGAAGGTTTTGACAGTCACTAGGGGAGAATGTCCATTCAAATAAAAAAAGTAAAAAAGCACTTGTCATTAAGAGACAAGAAAATTGCACACTCAAGCCTTTTTGGTCACGCCCCCTAACCGTAAAAAAAGGGCTTGTTCAGATGGTGTGAAGCCAACGGTCTAAAGAAGAAAGATTCAGAGGGTTTGCCGTTTGGAGCTTATAAAGGCAGAGAGCCAACTGCCATTCATGCATTCGAACGCCGTTGCCATGGCTGTTTTCTTGTCTTTCCTTTCTTCCCCCTGCAATTGCATGAAATGCTGTACATCCATAACCATTGATCTCTTACCTTTCCCTACCTCCAGGTTAAATACTTGAATGTTCGATTTGAGCGGGAACTTTCTGAGCAAAGTGCTCATCTGGAAGATGAGCAGAAAAGACAGACCAGCTTGATCAAACAGGTTAAACCATTTACTATTTACCTATTTATTCTAGCCATTTGTACATCACCCATTCATATAAGACCTGTCATTTGAAGCATTTTGTCAACTCTGCTGTACTAGGTCTATGAACGGGAGCATGAGAGGGAGTTGACGCAGCTGGCAGCCCAACAGAGTGAGGAAATTGCCAGAATTAAAGATGAGCTTGTCAGGGATCTTCAAGAAGGGCTGGAGACTGCACACCAGGCTGAGCTACTCCAAACACAAGTACCTTTTTGTTTTTCATCTCATTTGATTTAAAATTTTGGTGGGATGTTTTGGATTATAAGGCCTGACATTTAAGACCTGCAATTTGTTCAAAAGCTTGGGGCCAGTAAGAGAGATAAAGTCATGGTAAAGATACTTTTAATGATGGTTTTCACAAAAATATTAAGCAGAACTGTCTGTTAATAAGAAATGTTTCTTGAGTATCAAATCAGCATATTAGAATGATTTCTGTAGGATCATGTGACTCTGAAGACTTGTGTTATGGCTGAAGTGTTAGTTATGGCTGCTGAAAATTTTTAAAATAAAGTTATTTTGAGTTTAAAGTCCCCGTGAACCGGAAGTTGCAAACGATTTTTCTCGAGTGCTGTGACGTATTTCCAAGTGAAACGGAATATTGAACAGAGCGCAGGGTTTTACTCTAGCGCTCCTCCTCTCCATCTCTCGCTCATAGCAAACTAACGGTTTGAGGGGAGTGGTTAAGCGTTTCCCCACCCAAGCTGTGAAACCTACGTCATCAGAAAAAGAAACCGTTCCAGACCGGAAGTAACTTTTCAGATTTTGATTAAAGATTACCAAGGTAAAACATTTTTTAAATATATTTTTACTTGCACGGAGTAATTGTTCACCACAAGACTAGTAATATGCGCTAACAAAGTAAATGGGTTCAACTTTTGATTTCATGGGGAGTTTAAGTATTTCACTGTTTTACTGTTTTTTTTTTTTTTTATTGTAAATAAGTGACTTTTCAAAAAGGCTTGAAAAATCTTACCCACCCCAATCTTTTGAACAATGGTGTGTATTTTTTAATGGCATATGGAATGGAATTCAGTATGCTGCTACTTAAATTAGTTTTGCATGTAAATGTGTAAATGTAAAAGAAAAAAAAGCTGTAAATGCCTTTTTCTTGGCCAGTTGCCTACAGCTCTTCAGCAGCATGAGCACAGGAATTCAACAGCCTATTTGTACTGAATTTTTAATAGCAGTACAACAGTGTGTTATTCTAAACACTCATTCCCTCAATTCCACTCATCCGCTAAAATGTTGGTTGATTTTACTTTCTGTAAACAGAGCAAGCACAACCTGGAGCTTGAAGCCTTGCGTCTCAGCCTGACCAACTTGCACACAGCCCAGTTGGAGCTTTCTCAAACCAACATGCAGAAAGATAAGGAGGTGGCCCTCAGCGAGCTGCAGAGCATGTTACGAGAGAAATGGGCTCAGGAGAGCGCCATGCTTCAGACGCGCCAACAGTTTGAGCTGGAAAGAATTCGGGAGCAGAGCCGAGAGCAGGAACAACGAAACCAGGGACTGTACCAACAAGAGATTGGTGAGGGTTTGCCCTGTAGTTTCATTCAAAGCTTATTCTTTTTAGGGTTACTCTAGTACTGTGATGTATCTGTCTGTGATTGTATTTGTTCATTACTGTATAGATACTCTGAATCAGGAGTGGGAGAGGAGAGTTTTGGAAGAGAAAAGCTCTGTGGAACAGTTGCAGGGCTGTAAACTGGAGGTGAAATTTTTCTCTTTTAACAGGCTGATATCTTGTCCCACTGAAATATTGTTGCTTGCCAAGAATTAAGTGTGAAACAGGCATATGTAGTGCATTTTTATTTTTTCTGCAGGATCTAAAAGCCAAGTTGTTATCGGAGGCTGAAGAAGTCAAAACTGAACTTCAGAGTCGATTAAATGATGCCCATCATAAACTGAGTGAGACCCAGAAGGCCCTCTCTGAGGCTGAAGCAGCTCTTTCTGAGACACAGTGTAGGCTTGAAGAACGGCAGCGGTCCAAAGATCAAGACATCAAGAATCTGGAGAAAGAGCTCAACCAGGCCTTGACTGACAGAGATGCTGCTGCACGTGAGTGTCGTTTAAACCTCTGTATAAATTAAGCCACTTTGGCAGTGATGTGTTTACTTCCCCAGTTTAACATATTTTTTTACACAGTATTTTCACACCTCACACAAGGCTCACTTGGAGCATTCATTTCAGAACCAGATGCAATTTCAGATGCAATTTCATTAGGTAGAATGGGAATGAAGGCTTGTATACATTTTTGTGTGCGTGTTATGTATACGTGTATGTATTTATGTATATATATACACACACACTGTATATCATACATACACACACACTGTATATCATACATGCATACTATGTATGTGTATATACTGTATATATATTTATGTGTGCGTATTTGTATTTATGTGTATATTTATATGTATAATGACAGCTACAGCCACAGTGTCATCTATCAAGATGGATTGAACAGAACCACAGAAAATAAATGTGAACTCTGACCAATGAGAAGATGGCATGCTTTGAAATGTTTCCTTGTGAAGTGAACCGAACCAATAAGAAAATGCAACTAACAATTCGCGTCCCTGTTTCGGATCAAAGCTAACTTTCTGAAGGTCTGAGAATGCCCTAAGTTCCTATTCTTTCTCTTGCAGGTGCAGTTGAGGAGTTGATTGCATGTCACAAGGCAGCACTGCAGGAGAAACAGGAACATGCCCGAGCCTTGGAACAGAGAGAAAAAGAGCTGACGCAAGAGGTACCAAATCAAATCTTGAATTTGTTTCAACATAATTGCAATGCAAAAGTTTTACTGAAGCAAACATGTTTGTGAAAGGTTGACCGTCTGCAGTCAGAAAGGGAGGAACTGAAGGCCAGTTCAGAACAGGAGATCTCAAACCTCTGGTCCCAGCTGGAGTCCATGAGAACCAACAGACAGGAGCTCGGAGGCAGGCTGGGCTATTTCCCTCTTTTGAATATCTCTATAGTCTTTGGCTGCTGTTTTGTTTTACTCATTTATTATTTATAATAGAACAGTTTTATTTCCTTCTGAACTGATGTTTGTGTTTTCAGCCAAGTTAGTACTATTCAGTGCTTGCGTGAAATACAAGGAATTGTTATTTTGTCTCTGTAGAGCTGAAAGAGCAGCTGTTAGCACGCTCATCGCGGGTTGATGACATTGAGCGGCTGAAACAAGAATTCGCTCAGCAGCGGCAGGAAATCAAAGAACTGAATGAGGCAGAGCTGGAAAACCTCCGCACATATTTCGAGCAGAGACTTCGGGTCACAGAAGAGAGTCATCGGGAAGAAATTGCACTCCTGCAGCTGCGCCTCATAGAGGGAGCTCTGGAGGACTCTGTACTCCAGACTGGAGATGCAAGGTTTTCTAGAATTTCTACATTTTCTGTAATTTGAAATCTTGGCTTAAAGGTGCTGTATGTAACTTTCACTCTACTAAAGCATAAAATACCATGTGTTTGCTGATATTTAGGAAACATGCTAAGTTCTCATACTCGTTTCTTTGAAAAACCTTTCTACAGCCAGTTATTTTACTTTGAAATGTGCGTTTCCAGGCTGGAATTTTTGTAATTGTTTTGGTCTGTGATACTGCACGCTGCCAATTTTCATTGTCCGTTGCGCTCGTTCCTGTTGTGTGTGTGTTAAACTTGACAACCTGCGTGTGACAACCGTGTCGAGTCTGAGGAGCAGGTGGCGGGAGAAACGGCGATCTCCGATTTTTTGAATTGGGCTGCAGTACCTATTTCGACCACCATACTGCACCTTTAAGCTTGTACAGTTGGAAACTGGCATCATTTACTCCTGATGCACCTGGTTTGGTCACCTGAGATCTTTGTTTGTGTCAAGTGTAAATATGCTAAGCAATATACAATTGGGGAATGATACAATACCAGGGATTCATTACCAGGGGTGCCCAAACTAGGTCATACAGCCCATAGTTGGGTCTTTGTTTTGGCCCAACATGCCGTTTCACTAGAGGGGGAAAAAAGGTGGAAAAATGCCATTTAAAGGGTTAGTTCACCCAAAAATGAAAATTGTTATTTAATTACTCCACACAAATAACTCTCACTTTGAGGCTTCTTAACGATATCTTAAAACTAATTCTATATGAATTGAGTGGTTTAGTCAAAAAAAAATTAAGAGACTGTCACTTTATATGATGAAGATGAACAGATTGAATTTAGGCTTTAATGTAGAGAATGAGTGAATTTAATTAAAACATCTATAATTTGAATATAATATAGTTTGAAATAATGCCACATTTGATGCACTAATTCTTGCAGAACAAGAAAACAAATCATGCGTATACTCGCATACACTCACAACAACATTTTCCATACAAAATAATGAAACTACATGAAAGGACATGACACTTTTGCTGAAAATATATTGTGTTTTGTAGTTTTCTCTCAGAAGGCAAGAGTGAAGATGACAGGAGTGAAGCTATGGCGGAGATTACTAGACAACTGGAGAAACACAAGGTGTGTTGTAGTTGGTTTTGAGTTTTAGTGATTATAAACTTAATCAAATTTAACCTTGATTTACTTTGTTTGTCTTGTGCATGTTCACATCATTTTTAAGAAAAATTCTCTTTCTAATCTTTCGTCAAAATTCAGAAACTAGCTCCATTTTAACTTGCTACCATTGACCACTTTATTAGTAATAGAATGATTTAGCACAAGTCCCTGTTCTTGGTGTACTTATCTGGGTTTTTTTTTACAGGAGGAGCTGGACTCCCTTCGGATGCAGTTAGAGGAGAGACACCAGCAGGAATTGGATCAACTGCAGTCCAGAATGACTCTGGTTTATAAAGAAGATCTGCTCCAGGCTCGCACTGAGCTCACTGATCGATACTACAAAGACATCGATCAGCTCAACACAAAACACGCCCATGAACTAGAGCAGCTCCGTGCCAAACTCTCAGACAACCATATCAAAGGTAAAGCTTTGTTCAGTGTGTTCCAAAGTGTTTGTCCTTTTGGAAGGACTCCCTGGCAACCACTCAGAACACCTCAGCAACCGCACTTGCACACTTAAGAAAACACCATAGCATTGTGGAAGCAAGTTTTACATGGAAACACCATTCACGGTTTCTTCAGAAAATACACTAGTGTTGAAAAGATTGGGGTCAGTACAAATATATATGCTAAAATATATATCCTCGCTAAAAAAGCGTTAATTTCTTTAAAAAAATGTATACACAATTATTTTGTTTATTTATTTTATGCAAGGATCAAAAGTGACAGTAAAGACATTTATAATGTTACAAAGATTTCTATTTAAAATAAATAGAAAGTAAAAAAAACAGCTTTGTTTTCATTTTATTTATCAAAGAATAAATTGTAACAACTATTGTAACTTCCACAGAAATATTAAGGCGCACAACAATGCTAATGATGCTGAAAATTCAGCTTTGACATCACAGGAATAATTAACATTTTGTATAATAAAGGAGACAATTATTATTTTAAATTTGTACTATTTCACAATATTACTTTTTTTCACTGTATTTTTGATTGTGATCACTAGAGACTTTAAAAAGTAAAAAAAAAAATCACTAGAGACATTTTTTTCTCTCTCTCATAAGAAATAAACAAGTTGCGGTTACAGTCAGCACAAGATGTAGCAAGGCAGGTGGAAGCTGAGGTGAAGGAGAGGACTCTGCAGCACCAGGCCGAGGTGACCAAGCTGGAAGCCCAGCTATCTCAGCTCTCCCTAATGCACTCAGGAGAACTGGAGAAAGTGGTGGAGCAACACCGTGAGCAGCTCAGACAGATGGAGACGGTAAGAGTGCGCATAAGACCAGGCCTTCATACTTGAGACAAAGATTGTAGCCATAGGCTGGAACCAAGCACTGTCATAAGGCGTAGAAATAGTGGTCATGCTGTAGACAGATGCTGATTATTATAGACCCTTTAGCAATACTATAATGCTGTAATCAATGGTGTCTTTATGAATATGGCTCTTTGAGCCCTGTGTTCTCTTCCGTTTAAAGCATCAGAAAGATGCCGAAGATTTGAGGGTGCGCCTTGAGGAGGCACAGAAGGCAGAGAGGAATCGTGCGAGTGAGGAGTTGACTGAAGAGCTGGCCCAACTGAGGGAGCAACTCCAATTGCAGGCTGAGGAGCGCTTGGCTTCCCAGAGAGAGCAGCTTCAGCGATCTGCCCTGGAAGAGAAAGAGGAGTTTGAGCAGAGGCTTCTGGAGGTCCAAAAGCTCCTGGATGTGGAAAGGCAGAGCCTTCAAGAACTGCAGAAGAGTCTGGAGTGTGAAGAGAGCCCTCAGGTGGTGGCGTTGAAGCAGAAACTTCAGGCTCAGTATGACCGAGAGATGTGCACTGCGAGGAGTACGATGGCAGCAGAGGTGAAGGAGCTGAACGCTCTACTTCAAGATCAGATGGAGAGCAAGCTGCAAGAGGCCATCTGCAGGTCAGAAACTGCATTGCATTGAAACAGCATACAGTTTTAAAGGGGTCATGAACTGGCTTTTTAAATTTTATTATATTGTTGTCTGAGGTCAACTTATGACATTCGCTTTGTTTTTGCGTTTTAAAACATCAAAATGAATAAGTAATAGGCTATTTTCTACCCTAGTTTTGAGCCTAGCTCAAAAACGCTCGTTTTTTTATGGGCGTCTCACATTGAAGACTTGGAAGTAAACCAAATTTACTTATTCTTAAATAATTAAGAATAAGTAAATTTTTATTTGTAGTATTGTAATTTAAACTTGTTTGGTTATTCGTAACTCTAATATGTTACTGGTTACTCTAAGTAACTCTGACTAAACTTATTTAACTTTTTCTTTTGCAATAAAAGTAACAAAATTAATTTTTTTTTATTATTATAAAAGATGTAGTAAATGTGATCATCAATATCATCTGTATGTCATACATGTAGGCATCAAGAAGAGCAGAAACAACTGGAAGAGAAGTTGACCCTTCAAAGAGATGCTGCCCTGGGTCAACAGAGAGAACAGCATGCCATGGAGCTGCAGGCCCAGAAATCACTCCTGGACCAGCAGGCTGCACAATTACAAGATCTTGAAAAGAAGTGTCAGGATCTCAAAATGCACCACCAGGAGGAACTGGAGTCCCTGATGACCAATCACAAGACAGCCTTAGAGACCTTGGAGAATGAACTTACGAATAAACACAAGGCGGAGCTCGACAAATTAGAAGCCGTCCTTCAGGAGACCAACCTGGCACAGCTTGAAGCTCAAGAGGCGGAGCTTCAGGCACGACACAAACAGGAGAGGGAGGAGCTTGAGGAGAGGCTGATGGCAAACATGGATACACTGGAGAGCACATACTTGAATGAAATTCAGGCAGTACGGGATGAGAAGGATAGAGAACTGCGTGACCTTCAAGAACACTATACTCGAGAGATTGAGAGGGTGAGAAAGGAAGAGCAAACCATCAGAGAGGACCTCAGGAGGGAGCTTGCTAACGTCCATATGGATAAATTCAGTGCCATGGCAAGAGAATTGCATCAAGCCCATCAGGTGAGCATTTTCAATGGTTTAGTTAATTTGCCTTGTATATTTTGCAGGAGCAACATCAAGTGTGTTAACTTGCTTATGCAGGCGGAGTTGTCTGAAGCGGTCTCCTCTCAGAGGGCAGCTCTGGATGATGAGCATCTATCTTCTCTGGAAGCCCTTCAGCAGCAAGTAGTTGCTTTAGAGAAGCAGCATAGCGCCGCCCTTCTGGAGATCACTGACATTGCCACTGCAGAGAAAAAGCAACATGAGCAACAAATGGATGAGCTGGCCACTCAACATCAGCATCAACTGGAGGAGCTGACCACTCAACATCAGCAACAGCTACAGGTGAGTGTGTTCGGGAAGACGAGAGTATGTCATTTCGTTTAGATGTGTTCAGCCTTTAGCATGGTTGGGTCTTGTTTTGAACTGTAAGAAGATAAGATCTTCTTACCTTAACTCTCCTCTCGTCCTATTTGTTGCTCAGGAGTTAAGGGTTGTGTCAGCCAGGGAGTTGGAGACTCTGCGTAGGGAATTAGAGGAAGAAGCGTCAAGGCAACGCCTCCACTTCCTGGAAGAGGCAGAACTCCTCAAATGCAAGTCTGAGGAGCAGCTGCAGCAGAGAACTGCACAGTTAAAGGTGAGATGAGAAGGTGTTAGTTTTACAGTAGTCATATAGGGATGGGCAACGATTAATCGCATCCAAAATAAAAGTTTGTGTTTACATAATATATGTGTGTGTGGTGTGTATAATTATTTTGTATATATAAATACACACACATGCTTGTATATATTTAAGAAATATTTGCATGTATATACTTTATATACATGCAAATATTTCTTAAATATATACATGCATGTGTGTGTATTTTTATCAATTGTTCTTGTTGTCATTATTACTGTGACTGTATTGTTCAGCATGAAAACATGTATTTGCTACTCTCCCAAACACTGTTAAACAATAGCTGAGCTTATTGGGGGAGGGAGTTAACATCTGGAGTTGGGGGACGGTTCCACTCTAAGCTCAAATTAATACTAATCCCCACCGTGTACTCTACATTATAGCTTCCATCATTCACAGTAAACCTTTTCTCTGGATCGGACGCTGTCAGACTTTTGCATTTGACCTTGTAGAGCTGTTCTCTTCCTCAAATCTTTCTCTGCATGGGGACTTTCTGACATTTTACACTGGTTGGTTTGTCAGTTGGCCTCTTTCCCTTTAGAGCATTAGAGAGGTCCTCTGACAGCATTAATCCTACAGATGGGAGGAAGTGTAGGGACACGTGAGTGATGGCTGGCTGAATGAGGATGTGAGGTTTGTGTGGGGCTTTTTTGTGTTTGATCATTTTATTTTTATTTTTTATATACATCACTGGGTAAATTTTGATCCAATGCATTCAGATAATTTGCCTTTTGTTTGTTTGAGGGGAGAGTGTGAGACTGAGAGTGAAATGTGATTCCTTGTTGTTCCTGCCTGTTTCTGCATTGTTGACATGACGTGTATGTGTGTTTCAGGAGGAGAGTGACCAGGAAAAGGCTGTTGCTCTTGAGGAGCTGGAAAGGGCTTTAAGACAGCAACATGAGCAAACTGAACTCACCTACAGTGACAAGATGAGCCAACTTACTGCACAACTACAGCAGCTGGACACTGTAGTGTCACAGGTACAACACAGTCAACTCGTCACTACAGCAAATGAGCAGTCATTAATCTTTACTTAACTTTGAAGCAGTGGTCATTTGAAATCATTATTAAATAATTCAAACATTGAACAAAGAAATAAATTACAAGTTTTCCAACGTTCCTTTAATTTGAATATAAAGGCTGCGCAATTTATTATTATTTTTTTATACACTACACAAATTTTGCACAGATTTTTATACTGGTTTACAATCTAGACCCGAGTCCATCCAGTCAGAGTATATCAGATATTTTGAGTTGAATTTAACACTCACATTATTTTCATCTTTTTCACATTTACCTCAGATTAAAAAAAAACATATCCAGTGACCATAAACTCTCTTCGCTAGAAAAATTAACTCTTAAAAATGAGAGGGGAGCGTTTTGCTAAATATACACACAATATTACATATTCATTATACTTTTTAACGTTCTTCAATATTTAATGCATGTTTGAATAAATCTGAGTTTTTATGACCGCCACCATTGGAATGTTTATATTTCATATAACTTTATTATTATAAAAAATGTGTAATTAAGTGTTTGTATACAAATCAGTTAATTTTTTACCTTCCGAAGTGATGACGTCACTTTGTAGGACAACTCGGAAGCTAGCGGCGCATGGGTTCCCTCGGTCGAAAAGCAATGCATTTTCCCCATAGACTTTTGGAAAATCGCAAAAAATAAGATCTCTGTTTAACAAAGAGTTGTGACCCTTACACCTTTTGTCTATCAAGATAATCTTTACAAGTTAATCCAAAATTTATACATTTTGAAGCCTATATAAAGATTTTAAAAAACTCAAGCAGACACAATAAAGTTTAAAAACCACAAGCAGGTTATAACTGTGTGTTCTATGTCATAGATCAAAACGTGAAAATATTTAGAGGCTTTGTTCACCACAGACCTTATTTCAGGCGATTTAGCAAAAACCCATTCAAAAATCCCATAGGCTTTAGAGCGAGGGACCCGTTAGTGCTCCCTTCCGCGTTTGGCCAACAGAGTGACGTCGTAACTTCGGCACTCTATTGTATAGCTTCAACTGACTCCCATAGTTTACAGCATTAGTCAAGAGATTTGTTTTCCTTGAGAAAATGTGCCATATATTGTTCCTGATATCCAAAATAACCAATATTGAATCGAATCGATTGGGAATCGAAATCGAGTCGAATTGTGAAATTTGTGTCAATACCCATATTATATGTTATATTCTAAAATAATGCTCACCTTGTGCAGGACATGCAATAAGTCAGGAGTGGTGTGGTATTTGGCCAGAGAAGGCAAAAAATTTGAGAATTGCTGATGTTTAAGCTGGTTTGTAACATACCAAGAATAGACTTTGCTGTTATTAGTACTGTAATGTTATTTAGTGTTACTTTACTGTATTTGGGTTAGGTGGCTTAAGTTTTATTGTGAATTTATGTAAACTTGTTGTTTTGTGTTTAGACTACTTATATTTATATATGTACCCTAAAATTATAATATTAAGTTTGAATCTTTAAAGACATTCACAATTGTTTTGAGTATCCGTTCAGGCACTCGTACTGTTTTAAAAGTATCGATTTGGTACCGGTATCAAAAAAAAAAAATAATAAAATACCCTACTTATTGCCAATCCCTGCAAAGAGAGGTTTTACAGAATCTAGGCTTTATATTCATCAGTTGAGTTGCTTTTTTAAGCAGGTGTTTCGGATGCTGTTACATAATATTAATCTTTACATAAGAACTGGTGGGTGGAAATGGTAACAAAGGGCCTAGGTAAGCTTTGGTAGAGCTGGTGGTGGTTGTTTTTTCTGTTGTTATGGTTGCATATTTGCATGCCTTTTGTCTGGTGAAGTACGCCACATTTTTACAGGAGCCTTATTTGCATGCTACATTCTCGTCTGCTTTTGTGGCTGTTTTCCTGTCTTTTTGGCTTTGTACAGCTTGTCCTGTTTGAGCCTGAAGAATACATTCGGCAGAACTACGGGAGCATCCGCAGACAGGCGTTTTCTACTTCGGCAGCAAGCTTATTTTTTGATGCTTCTTGACATTAACCTCTTCATCATTTGTTAGTTGCGTTGACACCTCTCAGGCAAACACTTTACTGCCTAGGTGATGACTGTTTTCCTGTCTGTGGTGTCTCTCTTGCCTCTTTCTCAGCTGCGATCGGAGGTGAGCGGGCTGCAGGTGGAGCTAGAGGGCAAGCGGGCAGAGATGGACACGCTGGAGACTCTCCTGCAACGCAGAGACCGGGAAAACCAGGAAGGAGACAATCTACTGGCCATGCTCAGAGCAGACCTCAACACGGCCACACAGGACAGGTCAGCTGACCCACAGAGATGCAGAAAGAGGGATTTTGGGGAAGCTTTAACTGACAGTTTGCATACTGTTTTATAAACAACCTTGTTTTCATGTTTTTAGCTGTACTTTTAAACATTTATTTTTGTTCCTATCAGACAAGACCTGCAAACAGCACGTGACAAACTACAGCGGACGCTAATAGAGATGCTTCGGATCACTATGGCAACGGATGAGCACATAAGCCGCAAGCTAGGAGCTTGTGTATCAGGTGGTCAGTCTGGAGACAAAACACCCAGCTCAATGACCGCTAGGAGTAGCCGTGATTCACATGAAACGGGTATGTTTCTGTGAGTGAGTTTCCTGGATGAAAAATCTGTTTTGATTAATGGCTATTATAATGATATTCAAACCTATTAGGTTTGTGGAATTGCGCACACAGACCAGCCACTAGTCATGTGCCCATCACTGAAAATGGGCATTTGATCACTGGATTTACAAAAATTGTTTCACTTTAAGAAGTGTTCTAAATCTAAACTTCTGACAAACACATACATTTTTAATTGATTTATCACTCTGTCTTTGGTTGGGTTTTACCTGTTCAAACACATTAAAATTGACAAATAGCTTAAAAATAAATGTATAAAAATATATAAATACCTATGCAAGCTTGTTTCCGACATAGTATGAAAAATAAAAAAGTTGTACAATTGTTTTTCTCACAATTCTGACTTTTTCTCAGAATTGCGTGATATAAAGTCACAATTGCGTGTTAAATTCAGAATTGCGAGATATAAAGTCAGAATTGATATTAAGTTGCAATTGCATGTTATAAAGTCAGAATTGCGAGATATAAACTATTCTAAGGGGGAAAAAAAAGTTAGTATTTTTTCCCCCTTAGAATTGGCCTGATAACTCACAATTGCGAGTTTATATCTTACAATTCTGAGAAAAGATGTCAGAATTTTGAGATATAAACTCGCAATTATGTGTTATAAAATCGGTCTTTTTTTTCTCACAATTGCAACTTTATTTCTCAGAACTGTGACTTTATATCTTGCATATATCTGATTTCTAATCTCTCAATTGTGAGAGTCACAATTATTATTTCTTTTATTCAGTGGCGGAAACAAGCTTTCATACATACCACTATAAAATATGTATAAATACTTTGTGACAAATGAGACAAATCACATGCTTACACACAGATTCTAAAATTAGCATTTATTTTGCACAATCGTAATTAAAAATATTTGGGAGAAAAACGTTTGGCTAATAATCTCAATGTTCCATTATCTTTTAATATTTGTTGTTGACTAACAGATTTTAACAAAGAATTTATCATTCTGTTTTTTTCAGGAGAGGTGATTGGCACCGAGGGGGAAGCTAATTGTAGTATGTGGTCTTCAGCTGTGGACGAGGGGTTGGAGTTGTCTCAGAGGCTGTGTGAGAGTGTGTTCTCTGGGCCGGAGGGGGAGATGGATGCTGAAGGAGAGGAACTCATGCTGGGATCCTGTACACGTCTGCGCACCGCTGTAGATAAACTACTGGAGCTGCTTTCCGAGTCCTCACAGCAGGTGCCGTGCTTAGAGACTCATCCCTGTCCTACCCACTTCTGACTTTTGCTGAATTTGCATACTGTTCATTGTGTAGACAGAGTAACCAATATTGGTGGACACAACAAGCATGTGGAAGTGCAATGCTAGTATTTTATGCACATGTATGTGGACAAAATGGGTTGTCTTCAGTTTTGTGGCATCATTTCCTCATGCATTTTTCTTGTTTTGAACATCCATAACATCTCTTATTATAATGTTGTTCTGCTTAATGTATTTGTGGACTCAAAAATCATCCCCCAGCAAAAAAAGAACAATAGTATCTATTTGCGATAGAAACTATTGTAACATTATAAATGTTTTCACTATCACAGTGTTATTTTAGTTTTTACTTGTAATTTTCAGATTTAATAAAATTTTTTAGTAATTCTTAAAAAAAAACATTAATAGCTCTATTTAGGTTTAATTTATTTTTGTTTTAGTTTTTATTTATTTGGAGTCATTTTAGTGCCTAAACTTAGTTTAGTTATTTACTACAAATGTTTTTAATAGTTTTATACAGTAACAACCCTGCTATCACTTATGATGAATTTAATGCTTCCTTGCTGAATAAAAACTATAATCAATCCTTGAAAAAAAACCAAAAACTGGCCTCTAGCAAACAGTAGTATTTGTGATTCAGACCACAATTCAATATGATAATGTGATGGAAGTTCTTTTTAGGAACAGTTTAACCCTTATTCCCATTTATGTCTGTATTTTCTCTCTCTTTGTCTTTTTCTGCTGTAGTTGGAGCAGATGTGTGGTCTGCAGGCCGTACTGAATGAGCAATTCAGAGACGGAGGCGAGGCCGGAGCGTCTTTGCTGTTTCAGAACTCTCAGCTGTTGGAGCAGCTGGATCACGAGGCCAGTCTGAAGAGCCAACTACAATTGGAGCTGCACAAGGCTGAAGGTCAGGACTTTCATTTTTATGTTTTAGAATGTTTAATATTTGTGTATCCCTACTTCACTGCCATTCACTTTCACAACTTGTTTGCTTTCTTGTGTGCATTTACATGTGTGGCTCTAGGTTTGATGGAAGGCTACATAGCTGAGAAAGCCATTTTGGAGGAGGCGCTTCAGCAGAAGGAGACGCAGGAGCAGCGTCTGGCAGAGGAGCTGGAGAGCACACGCATCCAACTGCAGCAGCTCAACGAAAATCATGCCCTCCTCCTGCGTCAGAGAGAAGCCCTGACCGCCAGCCTCGGAGACACAGAAAAGGGTGAGAGCGGAAGGGGTGTGATTTCGTTTTAGTTGACGTGCTTTAGTTTAATACCCAGATTGAATTGCATAACGTGCAGTTATGTAACATTTGTTTTATCGTTTGGGTCATGGCCTGTTAAATATGCGTGTTACTTTGCACACAGTGAAATTTTAAGGTTGTGTGCTTATGATGGAAGGGTTTAGTTTCATCCTACAAATTCTTTCTGCTCTGTAGGCTTCCTCGACGCAGAGGAAGACACAGGTTTGTGATGATAATCTGCGGCTGACGTAAATGTTTGAGTTGAGAAAAAAATAACTACATTTTTGGACACTAAATGCATCCATTTCAGATGAAGTTTGCAGTTTATTTATTTTTAATTTGTGGTTTATTAATGCTCTTGCTTATCCTGTGATCTTTTTTTTTTTTGCAGTCTAACTTGTTCTAAACCTTTGGTTTTGAAGGTTCAAGTACTTTTTAATTTTTCTTGAGTCTTTCTTTGCCAATTTTTTCTCGATCCAGTTTTGCTGTGCTTTTATTTGTGCATTGAGAATGCACAAATGATCCGGAGCTCCTGTGCATGTTTGCATCTTAATTTGCATTTGCAGTTTGAGTGAGTGTTTTGTTGATGAGATCTGTTGTGGCACGTTTTATTCATTGGTCCTCCTGGGCTCTGTGCAGCTCTGCTGGCGGAGGCTGAGCGTCTGGGGCAGGAGTGTGTGGAGGTACAGCGGCAGGCGGAGAAGGACTGCGGTGGGCTGGCGTCCCGTCTTCAGATGCTGGAACAGGCCCTGGAGGAGCAGGAGAGCCGTGGACATCAGCTGGAGGAACAGCACCGCCTGCAGACTGAAGACCTGCAGCAACACATTGATGCTCTGGAGAAACAGCTCAAACATAACCGCCAGTTCATAGATGTAAGTTCTTTGCACCAAAACTACTTGCACCTTGTCTGGTGCTGAGAGAAAAATGTGAATATTTTATACTTAATTTGATTTCAGTCATGTCAGACTTGGCGTAAGCTCAGGCAAAAAAATGACTATGCTTGTACAGGAACAAGCAGTGGAACGGGAGCATGAGAGGGATGAATTTCAGCAGGAAATCAAGAACCTGGAAGCTCAGCTGAGACAGCCATCTAAAGGACACGCAGGAGGGACCAGCAAGGGTCAAAGGGTAAGGGGCAATGTCTAAACCTTAGATGTGTCCTTGTCTGAACAGCCTGACACTGTTTGTTTGTGAATAATCTGTGACGAGTATGCGAGCAATTTTTTTTTGTTTTATTATATCTTACTGTAGTTTATTCCTGTGATGTGATTGAAGACTAGAGTAATGATGCTGAAAATTCAGCTTTGCTGTGTCACACGATCCTTCAGAAATTATGCTAATACGCTAATTTGATGCTCAAGTAATCTTTCTTTTCGAAGGTTGTCCTGCTCAATTTTTGTGGAAATTGAAAGTGATGCTTTTTCAGGCTTCTTTGAATAGAAAGCATTTTATTTACATTTTTTTTAAACTGTTAAAGTATTTATAATATATATATATAGTATTTATTATATATATTTATATAATAATAATAATAATAATATACTATTTATTATATATATGTATATATAATATATATATATATATATATATATATATTATTATCTTATTATTATTTTTATTGTTATTATTTATCTTATTATTATTATTATTATTTGTTAAATATAATAATAATAATATAGTGTGTGTGTGTGTGTGTGTATATATATATATATATATATATATATATATATATATATATATATAATTATTATTATTATTATTTTTTAAACATTTATTCAAGGATGCATTATAAAAAAAATTGTCTAACAGTAAAATACACTGAATTCTTTCTGGCAGTGGCATTTTTGACTATTAAAAGGCTTATATCTATCTTGATGGTGCGATTACTTTCTGATCTTGAAGCAAGAAAGAACATCACAAAATGCTTCACGGGCAAAACCCTTCTGTACCACATTGCTCACATACTCTGTGACAGAAACTATAGCCTTTCTGATACTGACCTCTGAATGATTTGAATTTTCATATAGATGCTTTTTTTTTTCTCCCTAACTGAATGATGTAGATTGAGGACTTGGTTCTTCAGGTATGTTATCCAGCTGTAGTCATTAATGTGCTGGCATTGTAGCAGATATGCATGGCTTATGCAGCGTTTAAAGTAGTAGAGCATGTGATAGCTATTTTGCGTTACGTTGTCTTGCTTGTCAAACCTTTTTTCAGCAGATTTGCAGTACATCAGTGGCATCTTTAACTCATGTTATTGTTTTTTTCCACTTTCATCCACCCATTGAAACTCAAACACATTCTTATCCTCTTTCCTCTCAAATGTCTTTGCTTACTAATCTAGTAGCTGATAAAAGAGATTGACTTTGACTTTACCGTCCATCTTGGCTTGTCTTTATCTGTTCCTTTGAATGATTGTCTTGCAGCCTCTTTAAAAGTCTCCATCCTTGGAAAAACTGTTGTTTTATTCACTTATATTCCCTCACAATGACCTTTTTTTCCCTGTCGCTGTGAATACATTTTGATAGAGGTCACATTGGTGCCATCATTCACTACGTAGCCCAAAAATTAAATAAAGACATTAAATTACCACTTTAACCAGTAGATGGCTGCAGAAGAGCACTTGTTGGCTTATTCGCCATTTACACTCCCTAGTTTGCTTTTGAATTTACATTTAGACATTATGAAATCATCATTATAAAATAATCCGTGTCAAGAAATCAATTTTCTTTTTTATTATTTTAATCTTTGATTGCAACTGAATTACACAAAGTAATATGTGCTCCTTTTATAACCACTGACGCTGTCGGTCAGTATACTATAGATAATATAGAAGAACAATGGTAAATTTAACAACGGTGATCCTTCTCTCAAATGTAAGTCTTCAGCCCTGATTTGTATTAAAATATTCACACACGCTCTATTTGGGTCCATATTCTCTATTCGTGTAATTTGTACAGGTGGAAAACCTTCAGGCTCTGATCAAGGATAAGATGGAAGACTATAGTATACTGTTGTCAGCAAAAGAGCAGTGCCAGCTTGATGTGGAAGAGCGTAATGAAGAGATTGAGAAATTGACAACTCGTATCCGTGAGTTGGAGCAGGCGTTACTGAGCTGTGCGGAGGCCAGCCGAACTGTCACACAGCTGGAGCAAGAACTTCAGAAAGCACGCAAGAACCTTCAGGAGCTCACACAGGTGCACAAAACTACACGTACAAGTTCAGATGTGTCTTGCATGTATTCTGATTTTATAGAACCCCCCCCTGCCTCACATTTAAGCCCCGAATTAGGTTGTCTAGTCACTGCTTCAGTTAATTAATTCAATTAATTTTCCATTTTGCACCAATATCTGTAGTTCTAACCCATTCTGATCTGTGTGCTCTTTCTTTCAGGATAAAGAAGCTTTGCAGCAGCAGCAGTATGCTAATAAGCTCCAGATCTCTGCCCTACAGTCCAAACTCGATGAAACCAGACACCGCTTCCCTGATATGACCCCTGACCCTAACCTCTTGGAACAGCTGGAAGCTACACAACAGGATCTGCAGACCAAAGAACAACAGGTGCGTGTATATCAGCACAGGATTAAGCAGATTGAAAGAGATTTGTGGACGGTCATGATTAATCAGAGTAACATTATCCAAGTTTGCATTTGCTTTAATATAGAGGTATTTAGGTTAGTTTTCTGAACAAAATACTTGGTTCATTTTCAGTCTTTGCTTATGGGTAAAAAGTTTGAAATGCCTTTGCAGTGGTGGTATACTGCTAGCAGACATCCCAACACTGCTGAGAGTGGCGATTAGATGAATATGGAAATATGTGCAATGCACTTTACTCTCAATTACAACAAAATAAGCACACAACAAAAATGACAGTGGTGAGAGAACGACATTTAAAGGGATACACCACTTTTTTTGGAAATAGGCTCATTTTACAACTCCCCCATAGTTAAACAGTTGAGTTTTACCATTTTCTAATGTATTCAGCCGATTTTCTGATATTTAGAAGAATATGGATTCGAAAACGGTAAAACTCAACTGTTTAACTCTGAGGGAGTTGTAAAATGAGCGCTATTTCCAAAAAAAGTGGAGTATGCATTTAATGATGGATATGTTTGCACAAGCTCTGCAATTCGGCACTCTAGTCAAGCCATATTTATTTATATATTTCTTTAAAGCTATCTATTTTATGCACCATTAAACATAAAATGCTGGATGGAATCACCAATATGCCAGTAATTCTAAACAATTTATCTGATAAGACATGCACATAAACTATGATGGAAACACATTTCCCCAATAAACCTCTTGATGCACAACAAACACATGGGACTTTAGCTCAACAGTGGATGTTTTGCACAGCTTCTCTATTGTTGGTTTGACCGTTCTGAAGTGCCTGAGCCAAGTCTGTCATCTGAATGATTTGGTTTAATTCCCTACTCGAAGTATCACACAATTCCGTTTCCTGAATGTAAGATAAAACAGCGTTTTTTATTAAGAGTCAGTTTATGATATATGAAAAAAGAGCCACACCGATTGCAGCGACTTCCATATTTATTATAGCTATTTTTACAGATATTGTGGTATTATACTGTTCATTATTTAACTTGAATTATATTGGGGCCTTTAGAGTTTATTTAAGAGTACATGACGCAACACCGTGGTCTAACAGC